GTACATTACATTACAATATCACTACTCTACAGAGCACCACATACAGTACATTACAATATCACACTACTCTACACAGCACCACATACAGTACAGTACATTACAATATCACACTACTCTACACAGCACCACGATACCCCCCAACAGTACAGTACATTACAATATCACACTACTCTACACAGCACCACATACAGTACAGTACATTACAATATCACACTACTCTACACAGCACCACATACAGTACATTACAATATCACACTACTCTACACAGCACCACATACAGTACATTACAATATCACAATACTCTACACAGCACCACATACAGTACATACATACACACTACTCTACACACAACCACATACAGTACATACATTACAATATCACACTACTCTACACAGCACCACATACAGTACATACATTACAAATCACACTACTCTACACAGCACCACATACAATATCACACTACTCTACACAGCACCACATACAGTACAGTACATTACAATATCACACTACTCTACACAGCACCACATACAGTACATTACAATATCACACTACTCTTCACAGCACCACATACAGTACATTACAATATCACACTACTCTACACAGCACCACATACAGTACAGTACCTACAATCTCACACTACTCTACACAGCACCACATACAGGTACAGTACATTACAATATCACACTACTCTACCACAGCACCACATACAGTACATTACAATATCACACTACGCTACACAGCACCACCTACAGTACATTACATATCACTTACTAACTCTACACACGCACCACAATCCAGTACAGTAACATTACAATATCACACTACCTCCTACACCAGCACCACATACAGTCCGTACATTACAATATCACCACTACTCTACCACAGCACCACCATACAGTCCATTACAGTTACATATTCACACTACTCTACACAGCACCAACATACAGTACAGTTACATTGCAATATCACACTAACTCTACACAGCACCACTACAGTACAATTACATATCCACACTACTTACACAGCACCACATACAGTACATTACATCACACCTACTCTAACCAGCACCACATACAGTAAAGTACATTACCAATATCACACTACTCGACACAGCACCAACATACAGATACCGTTACATTACAATATCACACTACTCTACACATCACCCATCCAGTACATTACAAATATCACATCTGACTCTACACAGCACCACATACAGTCCTTTACATATATCCACTCTCTACACAGCACCACATACAGTACAGTACATTTACAATATCACACTACTCTACACAGCACCACTACAGTAATACATTCACACTACTTAACGACCAATCAATATCACACTACTCTACACAGCACCACATACATACGTACATACAATATCACACTACTCTACACAGCACCACATACAGTACGTACATTACAATATCACACTACTCTACACAGCACCACATACAGTACATTACATTACAATATCACACTACTCTACACAGCACCATACATCATACATTACAATATCACACTACTCTACACAGCCCACTCATACATTACAATATCACACTACTCTACACAGCACCACATACAGTACAGTACATTACAATATCACACTACTCTACACAGCACCACATACATACAGTACATTACAATATCACACTACTCTACACAGCACCACATACAATATCACACTACATCTACAATACACACTACTCACACAGCACCACAACGTACAGTACATTACAATATCACACTACTCTACACAGCACCACATACATACAGTACATTACAATATCACACTACTCTACACAGCACCAATACAGTACACAATATCACACTACTCTACACAGCACCACAATACAGTACATTACAATATCACACTACTCTACACAGCACACAACATACAGTACATACACCCACTTACACAATATCAATCACCTACTCTACACAGCACCACATACAATATCACACTACTCTACACTGCACCACATACAGTACAGTACATTACAATATCACACTACTCTATACAGCACCACATACAGAACATTACATTACAATATCACACTACTCTACACAGCAACCACATACAGTACAGTACATTATACAATACTCTACACACACCTACAACAGTCTACAAACCACTATCCATACACATACAATATCACACTACTCTACACAGCACCACATACAGAACATACATACAATATCACACTACTCTACACAGCACCACATACAGAACATTACAATATCACACTACTCTACACAGCACCACACTGCACTGCACTTCGCAGCTCTTCAATATGCTTTTCGGGTGTGTACTGGTGTTACAACTGTTATGTTAAACCATTACTGTATCCCCTTACACCAAACAACACTGATCTACTCTGAATCATCTAACACTTCACTACACCAAACTGCACAACACTACACTACAATGTCACAATGCTTCAGCCCCATTGTTCTGTGGTCTGTGAAGAGACCCACTGAGGAGGCTGTGGTGTAGTATACTGTAGGGTGATAAGCAGTGGGCACCAGGCCCGCATAGGGGCATTGTCTGCACCGGTCAGGTGTGTCCAAACAGCGCCACCGGCAGACAGACAGGCGGGCGGGCGTCAGCAGCCATACGCGTGTCATGGCACACTACACACCAAGAGCCTGCATACTGCAGTTCCCACATGCGTATGCACAAAGAGTGCTCAGTCCCGGCATCACGCACCAGCGGCAACAGCAATGTGAAAAATTCAAATGGGGACAAAGGTACGCCACAGGGGAGGGAGGTGGGTAGGAGGTGAGTCCTGAGAGGTGAGGAAGGGGTGAAGAAGGGTAAGGAAGGGGGTGAGGCAGGGCCGGGTGTTGAGGGAGGTAGAGGCCAGGGACAAGGGGAATGAGAAACAAGTAACATGAACTAGCTTCTCTATGAAAGTTAACATTTTCTTCTTCATGATTTGCTGATCCCTCCTGATGACCCGGTTGGACATTACTCCAACAGGGTCACCAGGAGGGATAAGCCAATGAAGTTGGAAGTCCCAACCAGTTGACTACATTAAAACGGTGGAAGCCCTCAATGGCGCTGTCCATGCTATGGCCTTCTGGCCACCAGAGGCCTGTATCATTCTCTATGGATAATGACTGAAGACCTGACAGCCAGTGATTAGACTACACTACAGTATTGTCACAGGTCTCTGCTGCCATCCTGTGGTTAATAAGGACACCTACACTCTGCATCTGGGCTGAGCTAGCATAGCTACAAGCCTTTGAAATGTCTTTAGGGACTTAATTATCAAGACTCAAGAATGGAGTTGCTCCACTGGTCTTTGATTGACAGAAAGCCAGACATCTAGGAAAATGGACAAAGAGAGAGAGAGAGACATTCAGACAGACCGCACCTAGACATGCGTGAAAGGTGAAGTTGCGCACATTCACTGAGTATACAAAATATTAGGAACACATTCCTAATATTGAGTTGCAACCCCCCCCCCCAAGGTGTCAAAAGCATTCCACAGGGATGCTGGCCCATGTTGACTCCAATGCTTCCCACAGTTGTGTCAAGTTGGCTGGATGTCCTTTGGGTGGTGGACCATTCTTGATACACACAGGAAACTGTTGAGCGTGAAAACCCAGTAGCGTTGCAGTTCTTGACACAAACCGGTGCACCTGGCACCTACTACCATACCCTGTTCCAAGGCACTTCAATCTTTTGTCTTGCCCATTCAACCTCTGAATGACACACATACACAATCCATGTCTCAAGTGTCTTAAGGCTTAAAAATCAATAAGGGATCATATAATATGCCATTTAGCAGACGCTTTTATCCAAAGCGACTTACAGTCATGCGTGCATACATTTTTGTGTATGGGTGGTCCCGGGGATCAAACCCACTACCTTGGCGTTACAAGCGCCGTGCTCTACCAGCTGAGCTACAGAGGCTGACAGCTTTCACCTGGTCAGCCTATGTCATGGAAAGAGCAGGTGTTCTTAATGTTTTGTACACTCAGTGTATATCAAGTTTGGATTTGGCCCTCGGAGTACAGTGGGCTGGAGGCCTCCCAAACAATCCCCAACACCCCCCACATCTGGTGTGAATTAATGTCCCTCCTCCAAATACATACCCCCAAAGACCCCCTTAAGAAAATCCCTCTCAACTCCTGAACTTCCGACATGACTTGGGTCAGCGCTCCTGCCCAGGACCCATTAGGAAACACACCCCAGCTATGTAATCAGAGCCGGGGAGACAAAGCACACTGTTACAGTAAAGTTAGTGCACACCCTAATCCTAAACCTAACCCTAACTCTTAACCTAACCCTAACCCCCAAAACCCTAAACCTTAAGCTTAAAATAGCATTTGAACAAATTCAGGACCTGAAGAAAGTCCTGACGTTTCAAAAAAGTTATTATTTCCCTACCTTTTCAGGACATTAAGGTGAAATGTTAGGACATTGGGGTCCTGATAATGTAGAAAAACAAGTGCACACACACACACACACACACACACAGGCAGGCAGACATACAGCATGTCCATCCCTCCGCCTTCCACGGGGCCTGTTGCTATCCTTGTGTCACTTTCTTTGTGTCACTATCCTTGTGTCACTATCCTGTGTCACTATCCTTGTGTCACTATCTTTGTGTCACTATCCTTGTGTCCCGTTGAATCAAAGGTGTGGTTTCTAAATGACTGTAGAGAACCTACTGTATTAAAACAAAAACGCTCTGTCTGGTTTATTAGCTCAGTCACTCTTTAAACTGCCTTTTAATAGAGACGCCTTATGTGATGCTGTTGGGAAGTGACCTCATATCTAGATGAAGTAACTGGCATGAGCTATGCCTTGTTAAACTGGGCAGAGCAAGAAACACACACAAACCCAGGCTGAGGTCAGGTCTGACCAACGCCCCTACGTCAATCACACAGAGGTGTTGATTTTTTACATCTCTCTGTATATCTTTCTCTCTCCGTTCATCTTTCCCTCTCAGTGGCCATTCAAAATGGGAATAAATACACACAAGTTAGGTGGCAGTGAGTCCATTTATTTCAACAGGTTTTGCTCATCACTATCCCATATCAATATATAAAAAGATGGAATCTTTGGCAGCCACATGTGTCCCCTTTCTTGCCACTTATCTTTTAATTACATGTACTCCAGTCAGATTTGATCTAAAGTTACCCATAATTATTCTCATGTCATGATAGTGTATCTTTAGCACATACAGTGTGTTGAATCCATGTGAAACGTGTGACTGATGTATTGTACAGTTTGAGGAGGTTGACTGCTAGTGTACCAGACTCAGACAGTCTTGAAGAGTCCAGACATGATGTAGTCTGTGTGGTTTCCATCGATGAGGCCATTGCCGTTGCTATGGATGAACCAGCAGGGGATGTTCTCTCCATTCTTCACATCCCAGCGGAAGTCCCTCTGCCAGCCCCTGTGGAAACACAGCAAGGAGGAGAGACAATGATGAGAGAAGTGTGTGTATGTATGTGTGTATGCATGTGTGTGTGTCCGCGGGCAACCGCAGGGTGTATGTGACGCGTCTAGTGCAGTAGTGCCTAAGTTGAGGTAAGTTGCATGCCCGCTTACCACGTGCTTGCATACTCTCGCTTACAGCTCGCTGCCGCCGGCTAGCCCTTGTGGTGAATTGGGGAGCAGCTTCATGCACAAGTCTCCCCTTGCCGGTACAAAGCCTCTCCATGACCAAGACTCCTGTCGGGCCTCCTCACGGCGGCACACGTTAACCGGTTGTTTTGAAACTCCAGGCTAACTGGCAGGGGATCTCGGAGCAGCAGTGGGCCCCAGAGATGCGTCTGTGCAGGCCCACCTTTGTGTTGACACATCCTGGCAGCCATCAACCACTGTCCCGCTGCCTTGTGGGTTAGTCTGGTACGACAAAGGCTAGGGGAGCACACCCTTAGAGAAAAGCAGCGTGCTGGCGGCGCACGGTAGGCGGACGCCGACAGACTGGGGATCCGGCTGCCTCCTGCAGCTGTGGAAGATACTGGTCATCCTGGGTTTCCCCTCTTGCCACTGGAATTCACCTTCCTACAGTGAAGTAGTGCTGTTGGGGATTGCAAACCCTCAGCGGCACTTTAAATAACTTCCTTTGCGCAGGTATCCACTCCTGACCTCAGTGAAGCCATCAACCGGAAACCGGACTACAGTCTGGCGGCGTTGGGGTGTCTGGTGACGGGGCAGAAGTGAATGCACTGGGAGCCCTTAATCAGACCCCTGCACGCCAGCAGCACAGGGCTATTATGGTCGGCAGCAGCAAGGACTTGAGTGGCAGTTGCTCTCGGCAGACCCCTGTGTGACTGAGCAGCCCTATTTAGGAGCCACATGGCTCACCCCAGCTGGGGAGAGGCCTAGAAAAGGTGGCCTACAAATTGCCCACTCACTCCATCCTGGATAGGCTACTGCACCTATCGGGAGGTCCACTCAGCGGTTGAAAAATGCTAAAGAAAATAATTCCCCTGAAACTGGCGACATGGTACATCAGAACTCTTTTGGACACTGACGATAATAGCGATAGACCATATCGGAGAACAGCTCTGATTGCTGCAGAACTAAGACGCTACAACATTGACATTGCTGCCCTGAGTGAGACCAGGTTCCTGGATGAAGGTTCCCTGAAAGAGGGAGAGAGAAGGCTACACCTTCTTCTGGAAAGGTTACCCTCTGGGTGGACAACATCAGCACGGTGTGGGACTGGCAATTAAGAACAGCCTTTTACACAGCCTCACCGAAACACCTGTCGGCATAAGTGAAAGACTAATGTCTCTCCGTATCCCCCTAGCCAAGATGCGTTATGCTACTCTTCTCAGTGCATACGCTCCAACGTTACCATCTGAAAATGAGGCAAATTACTGCTTCTACCAGTCCCTAGATGAGGCCCTTCACCGCATCCCCAGGAATGAGAAGATCTTTCTGCTGGGTGACTTCAACGCAAGGTTGGGACAGAACAACAGGATATGGAATGGAGTGTTGGGTAGGCATGGTGTTGGTCAGGTCAATGAGAATGGCATGAGACTGCTAACTTTATGTGCCGTGCACAATCTCATTGTCACCAACACCTTGTTCCAGCAGAAGAACACATATAAAACATAATGGATGCACCCACGCTCCAAACACTTGCACCTGATCGACTTCGTCATAGTGAGACGTTCTGACACTAATGACGTCCTGCTGACACATGCCATGAGGGGTGCAGAATGCTGGATAGATCACCGTATGATACTGGCTAAACTCCAGGTGAGAATACGTCCCCCCACATGCCTGCAGAAGTCCAGTAAGAGGCGTCTGCACTGTACCTGGGCTTGAGAAAGCTGCAGTAAGGGACGAGTTCCGTCGCTCTCTCGCTGAAAGGCTGAAGGGGACGGAGCCTCTTTTGAATGCAGAGGACCCCATGGACCAGAAGTGGGCATCTATTAGGCAGTGGCCCACTCCATTGGCTACAGAGGTAGGAAACATCAGGACTGGTTTGATGAGAACTCTGACACCATCACAACCTTACTGGACAATATGCACAAAGCGCACAGGGCTATTCTCAACAGCCCCACATCTGCTACCCTCCGCCAGCAATGGCGTGCATCACGCAAGGAAGTGCAAACAACCTTGCATGCTCTGCAGAACGAATGGTGGACGAATAAGGCACAGGAAATCCAAATTTATGCAGAGAAAAACGACATGCACAATTTCTACAACTCAACTAAAGCTATCTATGGCCCTAGAAGTCGCTCCATCACCCCCCCGAAAACAGCTGATGATCTGACTCTCTTGAAGGAACAAAACCAGATCCTGATGAGGTGGGCTGATCACTTTGAAGAACTACTCAATCAGCACTCTCCTACAGACCACTTCATCCTGGAAGAACTGCCTGTCCGTCCACCCATTCAAGACCTCAACCATTCACCAACCTTCCAAGAGGTGTTATCAGCTATCCGTTCCCTCAAGAACAACAAGGCTCCTGGCACTGACAGAATCCCGGCAGAGCTACATAAGAAGGGTGGTTACTTCTGCACCAGAACGCTCCACCAGTACATCACGGCGGTTTGGGACTGGGAGATCCTCCCCCAACAGCGGTGGGAAGCAAACATTGTCACCATCTAGAAGAACAAGAGTGACAAGTCCATCTGCGGCAACAGCCGGGGGATATCCCTCCTGGCTGTTGCCGGCAAGGTCCTGGCCAAGGTGGTGCTACACAGGATGGTGAACAACATCACAGAGGAACTGCTGCAGAGTCACAATGCGGCTTCAGAAAGAACAGGAGTACGGTCGACATGAAGGCTCCAAGCAACCACCAAGGTTTTGATGGAGCGGGTTCTTGAGCTGCAGTATGCTGATGACTGTGCCCTTGTGGCCCACACTCCGGAAGATCTTCAGTCCGTCCTTGTAGCGGCTGTGAGGGTCTATAGTAGGATGGGACTGTCTATCAATACCACCAAGACAGAGGTGGTCTGCCAATGGAGATCCAGCCCTCCACCCACCATGCCTGTCTTCACCATTGAACACAAATCACTGGCAATAGTCCCATCCTTCAAATACCTGGGCAGCGTCCTCTCGGAGGACCGCAGCATCGACTTCGAAATTCAAAATAGGATCAAGTAAGCATCAGCTGCCTTTGGGAAACTCAGACGCAGGGTCTTCCAAAACAGGGATCTCCACCTCCACACCAAAGTCGCCGTCTATCAAGCCGTCTGCATCACCACACTTCTTTCCAGCAGTGAAGCTTGGGTCACTTACAGCCGCCACAACAAGCAGCTAGAGTGATTCCACATAGGATGCCTGCAGCGCAACTGCAAGAGTATGGAGGCCATGGTCACCCAACATCAACTACGCTGGCTTGGGCATGTCATTAGGATGTCTCAGGAACACTTGCCGCGGAAGATCCTGTATGGCCAGCTACATCTTGGCCGGCTGTCTGCAGGGGGGCAGATGAAGCGCTACAAGGACCAGCTGAAAACATTGCTGAAGAAGTGCAACATCAAACCCACAGACCTAGAGGATACTGCCAGAGTGGTGTACTGAGGTGGGAGGAGGAGAGGAGCACAAAGAGACAGCAAAAACTGCTCAGGAGACATACAACCATGCCTGCCCCCACCAACACAGACTACACATGCCCCACCTGCAATACAGTTTGTGGATCTCGGATTGGACTCCACAGTCACCAAAGAATTTACCATAAACTCAGAAGTGGAAGTCATCTTTGGAATACAATGGGATTACCGAAGAAGAAGTATGTATGTGTGTGTGTAGGCATCTACCTTGTCACTGTAAGCTCCTGTCCCTTCACTAGCATGGTGGCATCTGGTTTCTCTGGCACCTCTCCTGGACGCATGTCTCTCACCTCAAACTGCACGCCATGGTAAAACTGACCTGTATGGGGACAATATAATACATTTTAATTGATCAAATATACAGACAATTTTCCAAATATAATGCAGAGTAAACCTCCAGCCAGCTAAGCAGACTTCATCTGGCCTTGCCAATGACAGATTGCACCCCTGGTGGTACCTAGCAGGCCGTGGACGATGGAGGAGAGGAGGTCGCTGTCCTACCTAGGAGCCAGTGGACGCTGGGGGAGAGGAGGTGGCTGTCCTACCTAGGAGCCAGTGGACGCTGGGGGAGAGGAGGTGGCTGTCCTACCTAGAAGGCCGTGGACGCTGGGGGAGAGGAGGTGGCTGTCCAGGGTATAGAAGCCCAAGTAGTCCTGGTGGTAGGGGTGCTGCTTCCACACCTTGTGTAGGATGACCACAAACCGGACCGAGTCCCTGAGGGTGACAGTCAAGCTGCGGTCTTTGGTCACCTGCAGGTCCATACTATAGGAGGGGGAGAGGGAGATGGAGGTAGTTTAACCATGATGACAGAATGAAACGTTAGATGCCCCTTCAACCTTATGTGGTAGGGAGGTTGCATTACAGATATAAACTCTGGTCTCTACGTATCTAGCCTTAGTTATTAGTTATAGGAGTTATATGGAAGACAGAACAGCAAAACCGTAATGGGTAAGGGTGCTTACTTGGCTCCCTTGAGAGAGGCGGTGTCTGACCAGAAGAGCTTGGCCTGCTTGCCATCCTGGGACACAGTGATGTCATGAGTGGTCACCTCCAGTCTCACCCCCAGCCCCTGGTGAACGATGCCAAAGCGACCAAAGTAGGTGTTCACTTTGCCATCAGGGGCCACCTTCTTATCCCCAATGGTCTGGCCATTGACCAAAATACCTGCAAGGCAGCATGGGATTGAGGCAAGCTGTTGGTATAGTGTAGATTTGATATGTGTTATACACTGCTCAAAAAAATAAAGGGAACACTAAAATAACACATCCTAGATCTGAATGAATGAAATAATCTTATGAAATACTTTTTTCTTTACATAGTTGAATGTGCTGACAACAAAATCACAAAAATTATCAATGGAAATCAAATTTATCAACCCATGGAGGTCTGGATTTGGAGTCACACTCAAAATTAAAGTGGAAAACCACACTACAGGCTGATCCAACTTTGATGTAATGTCCTTAAAACAAGTCAAAATGAGGCTCAGTAGTGTGTGTGGCCTCCACGTGCCTGTATGACATCCCTACAACGCCTGGGCATGCTCCTGATGAGGTGGCGGATGGTCTCCTGAGGGATCTCCTCCCAGACCTGGACTAAAGCATCCGCCAACTCCTGGACAGTCTGTGGTGCAACGTGGCGTTGGTGGATGGAGCGAGACATGATGTCCCAGATGTGCTCAATTGGATTCAGGTCTGAGGAACGGGCGGGCCAGTCCATAGCATCAATGCCTTCCTCTTGCAGGAACTGCTGACACACTCCAGCCACATGAGGTCTAGCATTGTCTTGCATTAGGAGGAACCCAGGGCCAACCGCACCAGCATATGGTCTCACAAGGGGTCTGAGGATCTCATCTCGGTACCTAATGGCAGTCAGGCTACCTCTAGCAAGCACATGGAGGGCTGTGCGGCCCCCCAAAGAAATGCCACCCCACACCATGACTGACCCACCGCCAAACCGGTCATGCTGGAGGATGTTGCAGGCAGCAGAACGTTCTCCACGGCGTCTCCAGACTCTGTCACGTCTGTCACATGTGCTCAGTGTGAACCTACTTTCATCTGTGAAGAGCACAGGGCGCCAGTGGCGAATTTGCCAATCTTGGTGTTCTCTGGCAAATGCCAAACGTCCTGCACAGTGTTGTCCTCATGGAGTCTGTTTCTGACCGTTTGAGCAGACACATGCACATTTGTGGCCTGCTGGAGGTCATTTTGCAGGGCTCTGGCAGTGCTCCTCCTGCTCCTCCTTGCACAAAGGCGGAGGTAGCGGTCCTGCTGCTGGGTTGTTGCCCTCCTACGGCCTCCTCCACGTCTCCTGATGTACTGGCCCGTCTCCTGGTAGCGCCTCCATGCTCTGGACACTACGCTGACAGACACAGCAAACCTTCTTGCCACAGCTCGCATTGATGTGCCATCCTGGATGAGCTGCACTACCTGAGCCACTTGTGTGGGTTGTAGACTCTGTCTCATGCTACCATTAGAGTGAAAGCACCGCCAGTATTCAAAAGTGACCAAAACATCAGCCAGGAAACATAGGAACTGAGAAGTGGTCTGTGGTCACCACCTGCAGAACCACTCCTTGATTGGGGGTGTCTTGCTAATTGCCTATAATTTCCACCTGTTTTCTATTCCATTTGCACAACAGCATGTGACATTTATTGTCAATCAGTGTTGCTTCCTAAGTGGACAGTTTGATTTCACAGAAGTGTGATTGACTTGGAGTTACATTGTGTTGTTTAAGTGTTCCCTTTCTTTTTTTGAGCAGTGTATATTTTATAAAACAAGTGTCATGGTTTGAATTCATGCCTTCAAAGACGCATTACTGTCAAAGGTTGGTCAATTTCAAATAATGCCTAATTTCTACATATTCACCTGCCAGCTGGTCTCTCACTAGGTTGAAGATGGTACCAGGCTTGTCATCTATGTTGAAGCACAATGCATCCTCCTGCTCTGGCAACTCAATCATGAAATGAGGGTCTCCATCCACTGCAGAGTCAACAACAGATTGTTACAGTTTTGAAATTTGATTTGGTTGAGGCTAAGCCCATCCAAACTTTGGATCACTCTATTATAGTCATTTACATTTATTACATTTACGTCATTTAGCAGACGATCTTATCCAGAGCGACTTACAAATTGGTGCATTCACCTTATAGCCAGTGGGATAACCACTTTACAATGTTTTATTTATTTTTTTGTCGTGGCATGACAGCATGGTGGGCATTGAACATACTAAATATAAATACAAAATTACTGTAGTTGGTGAAGCAACCCATTTTTGGGACAGTTCCACCAGATAGAAAATCCCGAAGTAACCCATGTCTGACAGGAGGGTCACTCTGAATTAAGTGGGACTCACCAAAGTATGTGGGTGAGATCCTGCTGTGCGTCCAGGTGTTGCTCATCAGCTGGGGTGCAGCATAACCTGAAAATCACACCAAAGATGTCAGATGGCAAATAAAGTTCACGTTCAAAGTGGTAAAATGCATTTAATAGATTTACTCTGAATATAACAGGGTGTATAGTACGATGCAATATCCTCAGTTTCTAACCACAAATAATTTGGTGTCAGCTTTCCATGTCATAAATTCAGGTGATCCACTATAATGACATAGAAACCCATTTAGATGAAGGATACAGTCATGTCCATTCATGGCATGTGCTTACCAAATTTCTGGGCTTTCTGCCTTTCATCTGTCAAACAGTAGCAAAAGAAAACAGTCAGACACACACCTTTGACAATCGATGCAAGGATTTCCATAACCACTGAGATAAACATGTCAGATAAGACACGCCAGATGTACTGGTTGTCTCCCCCTGCCCCTCTTCACTCCCAACCCACTGGGTCTCATACCCTCGGTCAGCTTGTCGGCGATGAGGGGGCCCTCTGGCCCTTGTCAGTCTCAGGCTTGGTGACCACCATGGAGGTAAGGGGGGTGACGAAGCTGTACTGCAGGGACATCTCCAGAGCCTGGGCAGTGGCATTTCCCTTCTCCTCCGCAGTACCAGTCCCTCTGACAATTGAAACATAGGATGAGTGGTGCTATTGCATTAGGTTTGGATTAGAGGTTAGGTTCGGTTTAACTTGGGTTAGGTTTGGTTGAACTTACACCGCGGGGCAGAAAATAATGGAATATTTACGAATTGAGTTACTTTAATATACCCAGCTCCATTCATTAGATCCCAAAGCTCTCAACTACCAGTATGTTTTAGGCATTTGGATAATGCTTAACCACCATTTAGTTCTGGAGAGTTCACCAGACTAGCAGTTAATAGCAGTTAGCTGATCACACAGACCTCTTGCTCAACAGTTCTTGGATGGTGAGGTAGGCCCAAAGACGCTCAGTGAAGTCCCCAAAGATGTACTCCTGCTCAGGGTACAGTATGTCCCACTCCTGGGCACTGGCCTGGCCTTTGACAATAAAGTCCTCCTCGATCTAAAAAGAGTGTGACGATGTGAGAGAGAAGAGAAAGAGGTATTATACACAGAGAAGGAGTGAGAGAGAAGCATTAGTTGGGTCGAGCATTGTACAATACTTGAGTCACAATGCCCTTCAGGTGCAAAGAAAGATCCATCTTTCTAAGCTCAGTATCAGGGTGGTGTGGTGTGTTGTGTTGTGCCTGCCTGTTCCTCACCCCCTGTGCAAACACCTCCACCAGGAAGTTATCCAAGCTATTGTCAGTGAGCCGGCCAGCTACCACAATCTCTGAGCCGTTGAACAGCTGCTTGTAGTGACTGGTGGTCAGAGAGTTCACCAGGTTGTCAGGGTAACGCAGGTCCACCTCGGAGAGGAGGGGGCTGGCCACTTCATCATAGAAACCCTGGGACACAAATGCACACATCACCTAGTCATTTGTCTATTATAATTTTTTACAGTACATTATCAATAATGCCAAAACGTAGGATCTATATAAGACCACTCAAGGACCTAAATAGTTTCATCTATCCAGTGATGCTCCCTATCAGTGATATGGTCAAACCAGAAAACCACAGAAAAGTTACTATTGTGAGATTTGGGACAGAGCCCTGGTCCACACCTGAAGCTGGACAGTGGCATCAGAGCCCTCGTAGATCCTCCGGGCCAGTCCCTGGTTCTGTCTAGACATCACATCCAGAAAGGAGTAGTCCACGTCATTCCCAAAGCCCAGACAGAACAGAGACATGTTCCCACCCATAGCACCAAGGACATTCTTCTGAATCTGTGGTACAGAAGACTCTCCTGTACACAAACACACATGGCTGGACCAGTAAACATATGTACCATGACCTTACTGGCTTGATCTAATATAGAGCAATACATCAGATGGCTACTTCAATGTTAAAATGGCACCTGAGTTGGGCATTCCATCTGTCAGTAAGATAACCATAGACACACTCTTCTCCGGGACCTTCTTGTCTTGTATGTCTTTCATTATCATGTCCACAGCTTTCATCACAGCATCATTTATATTAGTGACTAAAAGGAGAACAACACACAAAATCAATCCAGGTGTTATCAAAAATAAATGTTTGATAGATATCCTTTTGCAAGTTCCCTCATAAATGCACCTCACTTTTATCATACTGCTTGCCCAAGTGTTGTACTGCCATTGATTCACTACTAAAGTCCTAGTGACAGAAACATCATTAATTATTTCTCTTTGTATGAGTCACCCCATTCCCAATAAACACATAATGGCTCACCTCCCCTGTCATCTATTTCTTTGACAAATTTTTGGGCTTCAGACACATTTTCCTTGTTGGCCTTGGTCAGAGATTCCTTCCATGTTGAGATTTGAGAGTCAAATATGACAATTCCGAAGTAGTCGTCCTCATCCAGGTCATTCAGGATATTCAGCATAGCTTCCTTTGTCTATGAGGGATCAAAGGCTCTCAGGTCAATCTGAGCATGAACTACTTTTACAGCACTGTAACCAAGTGATATGTTTCCTCTACCCTTCTCTCTCCCTCTCATCTTCTCTCCCTCTCTCATATTCTCTCACTTTCATCTTCTCTCTCTCTTTCTTTCTTTCTTTCTCTCAGACACACTATTTCTCTCTATTACCTGCTGCATTTTGATTCCGCTCATTGACCCACTCCTATCGATCACAAACACCACATTCTTTGGAACTCGGGGTAAGTCCGGAGGAGCAAAGAAGTGCACAAAGTACCCATTCACTATCTGAAAAAGATGTATAATGAACATCATTATGACATGAACACCCTGAATTGATGGAATTGACCCAAATACTGATCCTATATTATATTCAACACAGCTGACCTGGATGTCACCGATGGTCTCAGCTCGGTTCACATCATATTTGATGAAGAAATCCCCGTCAATCAGGGTGCCGTCACAACCCGGGCACTTCCTCTGCTGGTCCAGTGTTGGGCAGAATGAGATGTGTGCCTGAGTGAGGGAGGGCAACACAATTAAACACAAAACAATACAGAATTGTATTAATCTCTTTGGGAGGATATGTTCCACATGCATTTGTTTCATAGAACAGAACAGCATAATTTACCTTTTTGTCGGTGACTGTTTTCTCCACCAGGGGGAGAAGCTCGTTGGAGATGAAGGTTCCATAGGCATCCAGGAAGGCAATTCCCTGGGGTTCATAGATATCTGCCACAATCTGTCACAGAGACATGGACAGGACTGATGAGACACAGGACTGAGGAGTCAAGATGATGACAAAAGTGTTGTTTTGGGGTATAGAGTGTAAACATCTACAGACCTCAAAGTGCTGGACCAGCTGCTTGGGTTTGACATGGGTCATGATCTCGTACTGGCCCAGTTTACGCTGAAGCAACTCCTCGTAGGTCAAAATGAAGGTGACGTTACTATTGGCCGCGATGTTCACAGACACGGAGAACTTCTCCATCTTCCTCCCTGATGCCCTAGAGTACACAAACACAGGCCCAGTAGGAGGATCACAGTGGAAACAAAACACTCAAACACAGGCTGTGATAAAATAGTATAGGAGTGCTTAGTGTAATGGAAACATCATGTTTGCCCCCTCCTCATTACCCTGTTCAACTCACTTGACCAGTCCTGCAGTCTGCCCTGTGGAAACAGCTTTCTGATATTGCTTCTTGGCTTGCTCCTTCTCCTTCACCTTACCTGTGTATGTCTGACCCTCTATCTCCCTGAGATACAAAAACACAGTCATTCAAACAAACAAACATAAACATATATGCACTCACACACAGACACACAATACACAGAAGAGTAACAGTCCTATGGATTGATGTTATCATTTCTACACATAACGTGGCTTCTACACATGCCATGGGTGCTGACTGACATGCTGAAGTTGGTGATGAAGGCGGTCTTGGGCAGATCCACATCAAAGAACACTTCCTGAGAGGAGTTGGCCTTGTTCAGAGCACTGGAGGTTATGACCGTGTGAGCGAAACGAGAAGCCACCTTATACTCCCACCTTTACACTGTACACCTCCACCTGAGAGAGTAAGAGAGAAAGTAAGAAGAAGAGAAGTAGAGAGAGCGAGAGAGAGAGAGTAGAGAGAGAAGAGAGAAAGGAGAGAGAGAGGAGATAGAAGAGAGATGAGAGACTCTCTCTCTCTCTACCTGTCTTCTACGTCTCGCGTCATCTCCCTCTCTCTCTCCTCTCTCTCTCTCTCTCTCTCTCTCCTCCTCTCTCTCCTCTCCTCTCTCTCTCCTCTCTCTCTCTCCTCCTCTCTCCTCTTCTCCTCTCTCTCTCTCTCTCTTCTCTCTCGCTCTCTCTCTCTCTCCTCCTCTCCTCGCTCGCCTCTCTCTCCCTCTCCTCCTCCGCTCTCCTCTCTCCTCTCCTCCTCCCTCCTCACTCTCTTTCCTCTACTCCTCCTCCACTCTCTCACTTGGCTTCTCTTCTCTCTCTTTAACCATCACTCCTTACTCTGGCATCTTCCCCAATATTTGGAACCAAGGACTGATCACCCCAATCCACAAAAGTAGAGACAAATTTGACCCCAATAACTACAGTGGGATATGCGTCAACAGCAACCTTGGGAAGATCCTCTGGATTATCATTAACAGCAGACTAGTTCATTTCCTCAGTGAAAACAATGTACTGAGCAAATGTCAAATTGGCGTTTTACCAAATTACAGTACGATAGACCACGTATTCACCCTGCACATCCTAATGGACAAACAAACAAACCAAAACAAAGGCAAAGTCTTCTCATGTTTTGTTGACTTCAAAAAAGCTTTTGACTCAATTTGGCATGAGTGTCTGCTATACAAATTGATGGAAAGTGGTGTTGGGGGAAAAACAAACGACATTATAAAATCCATGCACACAAACAACAAGTGTGCAGTTAAAATTGGCAAAAAACACACACATTTCTTTCCACAGGGCCTTGGGGTGAGACAGGGATGCAGTTTAAGTCCCAAACCTCTTCAACATATATATCAACGAATTGATGAGGGCACTAGAACAGTCTGCAGCACCCAGCCTCACCCTACTAGAATCTGAATTTAAATGTCTACTGTTTGCTAATGATCTTGTGCTTCTGTCACCAACCAAGGAGGGCCTACAGCAGCACCTAGATCTTCTGCACAGATTCTGTCAGACCTGGGCCCCGACAGTAAATCTCAGTTAGACAAAAATAATGGTGTTCCAAAAAAGGTCCAGTTGCCAGGAGCACAAATACAAATTCCATCTAGACACCATTGCCCTAGAGCACACAAAAAAACGATATATACCTCGGCCTAAACATCAGCACCACAGGTAACTTCCACAAAGCTGTGAACGATCTGAGACAAGGCAAGAAGGGCCTTCTATACCATAAAAGGAACATAAAATTTGACATACCAATTAGGATCTGGCAAAAAAATACTTGAATCAGTTATAGAACCCATTGCCCTTTATGGATGGGAGGTCTGGGGTCCGCTCACCAACCAAGAATTCACAAATGGGACAAACACCAAATTGAGACTCTGCATACAGAATTCTGCAAAAATATCCTCAGTGTACAACGACAAACACCAAATAATGCATGCAGAGCAGAATTAGGCCGATACCCGCTAATGATCAAAATCCAGAAAAGAGCCATTAAATTCTATAACCACTTAAAAGGAAGTGATTCCCAAACCTTCCATAACAAAGCCATCACCTACAGAGACATTAACGTGGAGAAGAGTCCCCTAAGCAAGCTGGTCCTGGGGCTCTGTTCACAAACACAAACAGACCCACAGGACAACAACACATTTAGACCCAACCAAATCATGAGAAAACAAGAAGAGAATTACTTGACACATTGGAAATAATTAACCAAACAAACAGAGCAAACTAGAATGCTATTTGGCCCTAAACAGAGAGTACACAGCGGCAGAATACCTGACCACTGTGACTGACCCAAACTTAAGGAAAGCTTTGACTACGTACAGACTCAGTGAGCATAGCCTTGCTATTGAGAAAGGCCGCCGTAGGCAGACCTGGCTCTCAAGAAATGACAGGCTATGTGCACACTGTTATCCAGGACCTCTATACCAGGCGGTATCAGAGGAAGGCCCTCAAAATTGTCAAAGACTCCAGCCACCCTAGTCATAGACTTTCTCTGCTACCGTACGGCGGGTGGTGCCGGTGGGCCAAGTCTGGGTCCAGAGGACTTCTCGGCAGCTTCCACCCCCAAGCCATAAGACTCCTGAACAGCTAGTCATGGCTACTTGCACTGCCCCCCCCCCCCCCACCCGTCTTTTTATGCTGCTGCTACTCTGTTGATTGTTTATGCATAGTCACTTTAACTCTACCCACATGTACATATTACCTCAACTACCTCAACTAGCCGGTGCCCCCGCACATTGACTCTGCACCGGTGCCCTCCTGTATATAGCCTCCCTACTGTTATTTTATTTTACTTCAGCTCTTTTTTGTTGTTGTTTTATTTTACTTTTTTATTAAAAACTAAATGCATTGTTGGTTAAGGGCTGTAAGTAAGCATTTCATGGTAATGTCTACACCTGTTGTATTCGGTACATGTGGCAAATACAATTTGATTTGATTTGATTTGAAGAAAAATGAGGTGGAAACTGAGCTGCACTTCCTAACCTCCTGCCAAATGTATGACCATATTAGAGACACATATTTCCCTCAGATTACACAGATCCACAAAGAATTCGAAAACAAACCTAATTTTGATAAACTCCCATATCTACTGGGTGAAATACCACAGTGTGCCATCACAGCAGCAGGATTTGTGACCTGTTGCCACAAGAAAAGGGCAACCAGTGAAGAACAAACAACTTTTTAAATACAACCAATATTTACGTTTATTTATTTTCCCATTTGTACTTTAACTATTTGCACATTGTTACAACACTGTATATATACACTACCATTCAAAAGTTAGGGGTCACTTAGAAATGTCCTTGTTTTCGAAAGAAAAAGCACTTTTTTTGTCCATTAAAATAACATCAAACTGATCAGAAATACAGTGTAGACATTGTTAATGTTGTAAATGGCTATTGTAGCTTGAAACTGCAGATTTTTTATGGAATAGCTACATAGGCGTACAGAGGCCCATTATCAGCAACCATCAGTCCTGTGTTCCAATGGCATGTTGTGTTTGCTAATCCAAGTTTATCATTTTAAAAGACTAATTGATAATTAGAAAACCCTTTTGCAATTATGTTAGCACAGCTGAAAACTGTTGTGCTGATTAAAGAAGCAATAAAACTGGCCTTCTTGAGACTCCCTTCACAGAACAGCGCAAACTGGCTCTAACCAGAATAGAAAGAGGAGTGGGAGGCCCGGGTGCACAACTGAGCAAGAGGACAAATACATTAGAGTGTTTAGTTTGAGAAACAGTCACCTCACAGTGAAGAGGCGACTCCGGGATGCTGACCTTCTAGGCAGAGTTGCAAAGAAAAAGCCATATCTCAGACTGCCCATCTTAATCTTTAATTTTTATTGGCCAGTCTGAGATATGAAGAGTCGCCTCTTCATTGTTGACGTTGAGACTGGTGTTTTGAGGGTACTATTTAATGAAGCTGCCAGTTGAGGACCTGTGTGGTGACTGTTTCTCAATTTAGACACTCTAATGTATTTGTCCTCTTGCTCAGTTGTGCACCGGGGCCTCCCACTCCTCTTTCTATTCTGGTTAGAGCCAGTTTGCGCTGTTCTGTGAAGGAAGTAGTACACAGCATTGTATGAGAACTTCAGTTTCTTGGCAATTTCTCGCATGGAATAGCCTTCATTTCTCAGAACAAGAATAGACTGACGAGTTTCAGAAGAAAGTTATTTGTTTCTGGACATTTTGAGCCTGTAATCGAACCCACAATGCTGATGCTCCAGATATTCAACTAGTCTCAAGAAGGCCAGTTTTATTATTTCTTTAATCAGCACAACAGTTTTCAGCTGTGCTAACATAATTGCAAAAGTGTTTTCTAATGATCAATTAGCCTTTTAAAATGATAAACTTGGATTAGCAAACACAACATGCCATTGGAACACAGGACTGATGGTTGCTGATAATGGACCTCTGTACGCCTATGTAGATATTCCATTAAATATCAGCCGTTTCCAGTCACAATAGCCATTTACAACATCAACAATGTCTACACTGTATTTCTGATCAATTTGATGTTATTTTTATGGACAAAAAAAACAAGGACATTTCTAAGTGACCCCAAACTTTTGAACGGTAGTGTATGTTTCCCATTCCAATAAAGCCCTTAAATTTAATTGAATTGAGTGAGAGAGAATGAGAATGAGAGAGAGAGAAAGAAAGAAGAGAGAAAGAGAAATAGCAACAGAAACGGAAGTGTTTTGAAATGTTTGTTTGTGTGAGTAATGACTGTCTAATGTGCCTGTAAAACATTCACACACTTTCTCAAAACATATTTTCCTGTTACAGCTGAATAGTGTGGAATATGCTGCATTGACTACAGGATTACTGCCAAAACAAATTATTACCGCTGTCCTCTTGTGAAAAACATTAACTCAGTGGTTCCAGTAAAAATACTAGATGAGTCAATCTGGGTGAGCAAAGGTACAGATTTCTAGTGATGAAGATGGTGGTGGCAGTGCATCATCATTATCATCATCCTCACAAATAGAATGTAAATATAGTGCATTTCCTTACCTCCACATTATCTGTACTTCTTTTCTGTAAAAAAAGAAAAACATTTAGACACATTATTATTAATTTCTTTTTTTACAGAGTACACTGTACGACTTAGACATTTTTAACTTTTCAAGTGGCTGAAACTTCTAGGTGCCAATGATACTGTTGTATTTACTGAAATAGAGAGTAGGGTAACCTGGGCAAAGAGCGAAGGACTTTCTCAAATATTTACACAAACATGGTCTCAAAGGTTAGATTTGTTTTTGGGAAAAACACAAATAACAAAATATTAATCAAGTGTAATCAGATGCACCACTGGGTGTTCAAGAGTAGAAGTCTGACGGATTCTGCGACAGATTCCTGTTTGGATTTGTGTCAGACAGTACGGTTTGTGTCGACGCTGAGCGGTACCTTTAGTAGCCTTGTAGCACCATCAGAGCCCTGGGATACAAAGCACAAGAGAGAAGTTTGAATTTAGGGTCAGAATGTCATCCAAACTAATTTAACATCTCATAGCCTAATTCATTGTAATGCATATAGATATTGGCTTGACTATAAATCGATTAATGTACACACGCATGCAAACACACCCACACCCACATACACAAAAGTAGAACAGAGATGAATCAAAGTAGAGATGTGTTAACAGAAAAGTAGATACTGTACAGATACATATACAGTAAATAGAGTAACAGTATATAGCAGTATAGCAGGCGGGGTGAGATGGCAGCAGGGGAGAGATGTAGTAACAGGAGAGTAGATACTACAGATGTAGGATCTTAATTTCAACCATATTGCTACAGCAGGAAAATAATCCTGCAGCAACCTACACCTACAAAAATGGACATTTTGTAGGTGTAGACACATTTTTCATGAGGGAAAATCAAGTCTGAAATTGAATTGCCTTTTTAAACCTCAAATACACTACAGGTTTTACATGTCCTGCATTGCAGGAAGTTCTCCTGCAACAGGGTGATCAAATTAAGAATCCTGCATCTGTATAGTAACAATGGAGAGTCACCTGTGGTGTGGAGGCATCCCGTGAGATAACCAGAGCTCCATGCGACAGAGCCGGGAGAAAGACACATCCCCAGAGCAACAGCACAGTCCACACTCCAGACATGATCAAACTGCAGCTAAACACTGACTTCACTGCTTTGAAAACAACTCAACTGTTTCCTACCACGCCGCTCACAGGAGGAGTGGCAGACTGTGTGTGTTTGTCTGCTTTATACTGGAGCAACGACCGGAAGACCTGACCTCAGCGTGGCAGGAGGCCCGAGGTGTGTGAATGTGTGTCTACTTACAGTGGGGAGAACAAGTATTTGATACACTGCCGATTTTGCAGGTTTTCCTACTTACAAAGCATGTAATTTTTAATAATCCTGAAAATCACATTGTATGATTTTTAAGTAATTAATTTGCATTTTATTGCATGACATAAGTATTTGATCACCTACCAACCAGTAAGAATTCCAGCTCTCACAGACCTGTTAATTTTTCTTTAAGAAGCCCTCCTGTTCTCCACTCATTACCTGTATTAACTGCACCTGTTTGAACTCGTTACCTGTATAAAAGACACCTGTCCACACACTCAATCAAACAGACTCCAACCTCTCCATAATGGCCAAGACCAGAGAGCTGTGTAAGGACATCAGGGATAAAATTGTAGACCTGCACAAGGCTGAGATGGGCTACAGGACAATAGGCAAGCAGCTTGGTGAGAAGGCAACAACTGTTGGCACAATTATTAGAAAATGGAAGAAGTTCAAGATGACGGTCAATCACCCTTGGTCTGGGGCTCCATGCAAGATCTCACCTCGTGGGGCATCAATGATCATGAGGAAGGTGAGGGATCAGCCCAGAACTACACGGCAGGACCTGGTCAATGACCTGAAGAGAGCTGGGACCACAGTCTCAAAGAAAACCATTAGTAACACACTACGCCATCATGGATTAAAATCCTGCAGCGCACGCAAGGTCCCCCTGCTCAAGCCAGCGCATGTCCAGGCCCGTCTGAAGTTTGCCAATGACCATCTGGATGATCCAGAGGAGGAATGGGAGAAGGTCATGTGGTCTGATGAGACAAAAATAGAGCTTTTTGGTCTAAACTCCACTTGCTGTGTTTGGAGGAAGAAGAAGGATGAGTACAACCCCAAGAACACCATCCCAACCGTGAAGGATGGAGGTGGAAACATCATTCTTTGGGGATGCTTTTCTGCAAAGGGGACAGGACGACTGCACCGTATTGAGGGGAGGATGGATGGGGCCATGTATCGCAAGATCTTGGCCAACAACCTCCTTCCCTCAGTAAGAGCATTGAAGATGGGTCGTGGCTGGGTCTTCCAGCATGACAACGACCCAAAACACACAGCCAGGGCAACTAAGGAGTGGCTCCGTAAGAAGCATCTCAAGGTCCTGGAGTGGCCTAGCCAGTCTCCAGACCTGAACCCAATAGAAAATCTTTGGAGGGAGCTGAAAGTCTATTGCCCAGCGACAGCCCCGAAACCTGAAGGATCTGGAGAAGGTCTGTATGGAGGAGTGGGCCAAAATTCCTGCTGCAGTGTGTGCAAACCTGGTCAAGACCTACAGGAAACGTATGATCTCTGTAATTGCAAACAAAGGTTTCTGTACCAAATATTAAGTTCTGCTTTTCTGATGTATCAAATACTTATGTCATGCAATAAAATGCAAATGGTTTACTTAAAAATCATACAATGTGATTTTCTGGATTTTTGTTTTAGATTCCGTCTCTCACAGTTGAAGTGTACCTATGATAAAAAATTACAGACCTCTACATGCTTTGTAAGTAGGAAAACCTGCAAAATCGGCTGCCACGAATTCCGCCGAGGCTGCTCCTCCTCCTTGTTCGGGTAGGCTTCGGCGTTCGTCGTCCCCGGAGTACTAGCTTCCACCGTTTGATGTTATCTATGTTTGTTTTGTTTTGTCTGTTTAGTGCACCTGTTCCACATCACGTCTTAATTATGTCACCTATAAGTTTCCTCTGGTTTTTGTTTGTAGTTGTGTGTCGTTGTTCTCCTGTCGGGTTGGTTTTGTGTATGAGTTTACTATTTGTTAGTGCCGTGCGCACTTTACGCACTGTTTTGCGTATTCGCCTGATGTATTTAGAATTTTGCTCCGGTGACTATTAAAAGTCGGATCAACTAAGCTTCTGTGTCCTGCGCCTGACTCCAACACCGCATCCACATCAGCCTTGTGACATCGGCAGTGTATCAAATACTTGTTCTCCCCACTGTATATGCCTCCAGGGATGTTTGTGTGGGTGTGGTTACATATATTTGTTAGTCTAACAGTCCACATAGCCTACTCACTCTACCTAGTAAAACAATTTGAGGTTGCTTTTTATCCTGACTGCCTGGAATCTGGTAAGGATAATAAGTAAATAAGTATTCAACAAGTATAGACTTCATTCCATCGGTCAATATAACACACGTCTACCAGGCTCCATCAACCTCTGCTTGTCCATTGTTTGTTAGTTCTGTTGACAAACCAAGTTTCTGAGAAGGCTCTATCCTAACTGGTCAGTAGAGTGGCCTTTGACCAGACTAGGGTTAGCCTCTCCACTCTATGCATATTCCGTTGCATGCCAATGGACTATTCCCAGCAAACATAGCAATTTAGTGAAACTAAAATCAATCCACACCGAAGTCCTAACATGAGTGTGCTGTATTCACCACCCATTTCTGTCCTTCTCTTTGGTTTACACATGGTACACTCATACAGTACAGCATGTGTGTTCCTGTTCTCACTCATTACCAGAGAAGTGTGTACATACATGTACAGTAGGTAGCTATACGTTCCCTCAGAGGGTTGATTGCAAAATGCTAACAAAATGAGTACATTTGCTGACTCCTGGAGGGTAGAGAGAGACAGATATGTGAACCACCATATCAAGGAGGGCTCTGTGTGCCCAATACTGAAGCCTCATTCAGACCAGAGGGGTATACTATGAATCTAGCTAGATGTACTCAGGCTTTTCTGAATTGACCTAGTTTTAGTTAGTTACACATTCCAGATCAGGCTTCATCCATGTTATGAAGGTAGATATTGATCGGGCACCAGCCGCACTTGTAACTGCGTGTGCATGTCGCACATGGCTAGTCGAATACCAAACTCTTCATTGAGACAACGCTAAAACATCAATCCATGGGCGAGTCAGTGCCACATGTTATTTTGTTGCCGAAATCAAAAAGAAAGAAAAGTTAACATGCAAATTCAGCAGGCTATGGTGTGAAATGGCCTGTTAGAAGTGCTGTCTTTCTTACGCATATTGTTTATTTAGTGTGCTTATCAATGCACAAGTCCCTTTTTCCCACTACTCAGTGCCGTGCATTCACAGATGCCAAGGGAAGCCAGGCTTCACCCCCACCCCCCAAAAAATTAAAAAATTAAAGAAATTGATATTTTGTCTCTGTGTTTCCTTCAATTCGCAAGAGGCTGAATGTATCTCACCGGAGAAAGCATCCGAGGGAGCGAAACAGTGCCCCTCTGTCTCTGTATGTGTAGGCCATCTATCTGATGCTGTCTGGTCCAAAAGAGTATGACATTGTTCCCGCCCGTAGCATTGAAGGCAAGGGAAGCCAGCGAGCATCTGGCCTCCCTTGACAAAAGTATAAAAATTAGCCAATATAAACTGAGCGAGCTCAACTTTGAATGGTCCTGGCGCACCCAAAAAACAGCGATTCTGATCCTACCATTAATTCAAACATTGTTGTGCCCCTGGCCTGAGAGGATGGAAGTTCAATATGTAGCTAGATGTAGAAGGCTAATGTTAACTAGCGAACATTTCCCATTAATGGAAGTTAGGCTAGCGAGCAAGCATTTTAGCCAGGTAGCCTAGGACAACAAAAAATAAAAGCATGTACTGTATGACAGTCATGGACCGTTTCGTCAACATGAAAGAAGGTCCTCTGTAGCTCAATTGGTAGAGCATGGCGCTTGTAACGCCAGGGTAGTGGGTTCGATCCCCGGGACCACCCATACGTAAAAATGTATGCGCACATGACTGTAAGTCGCTTTGGATAAAAGCGTCTGTTAAATGGCATATTATTATTATTATAAAGAGAGGAGGATGGCATTGGCATTTCTCTACAAGTAGGGTGAGTGAACATGTTTTTCTACTTGCACGAAACGCATGCACGTGTAGTAGTGTGATGTTGTTCCCCTAGATTATGCACCAAGTTGCACACAAGGACCAGTTCAAGTAGGCCAGGTCAAGAGGGGATGTTAATAATTTATAATAATAATAATAATTCAATGTGTTTTCTTTATCTAATTACAGCTGCATAGCTAATGTTATTTTTTGGTGTACAATTTTTTTAAAATATCTATATTGTAAATACACCTGATTGTAAAAGTTTTGTATATTTTGGTTTGGTCCATCGCGGGTTATCTGTACTTACGTACCCTCTTATTGTTCTCTTTTGCCTGACCTTCAACTAGCAAGGTATGTTGTCCTTGGCTCCGTAATTTGTCAATATAAAACTGTGGTAGTGTTACACAAAGTGATGTTACAATGATATAGGTTTTGTTACAATGTGGACAATATAAAGATTTATGTTAACAAGTTTCACCGAGCTCGCTAATTAGGGTACCTATTGTAACTTGTGAGTACTTGGGACAGTGTTTGAGTGAGTTTCCATGTGCTCACACAGGTGCCCGAGAGCCGTGACTGCACCAAGGGCTAACATATTGTGTGTTGTCTCTTCGTGTGCAGGGCAAATAAAAATAATCCAACCCAGCAGACCTCCAGTTGTGGCCGTGTCCTAATTAAAAGTACACAACGCAGAACGAACCACACTACACATGCACGCACACACATAGAAATCAGAACCATGGACAGCAACATATTTAGCTTACGTTGATTGGACAAAATTGTTTTTGGTATATATTATTATACATTTTTTATTGAATATTTAAATCATACAATCTCCTTGCAGTGAAGCCGACAACATGCCTGTCAACATCTACATCACATTAGCCATCTAACAGACTCCCATCCAGAGCGACCCACAGAAGCAACCAGGGTCAACATCCCGCTCAAGGGCATGTCGACAGATCTCCCATAAGGTCAAAAACGGGGACCCGAACCAGCAACCCATCAGCCACCGGCCCAAGCTCCCAACCTCCAGGCCACCAGCCCTCCAAGATCAACCCCACAGTTCCCCAAGATCTGCACCTCAACCATCCGAGAACCCCCCCGCGAAAAATTAAATAATTTGATTCCCCAGCCCGAGCCCCCGTCCCCGTCCCCCATTGCACCAACAAAATGAACAAAAGAGAAAAAAATGAAAAAAGAGAGACAAAG